ATTAATTTATACTGCCGTTTAATATTCAATATTAAATTAAATCAAACGAGTTTTTTTTAGAGTGATGTAGAGGTTTGTACAGGTTAAATTTAAGTAAATTGTTCGCATTGAATGCATTTTTATATAAAAATGTGTAACATTTATTAACTTTTTGAACTTTGTGTTTTTATTGTTAAATTTTTATATTTGTTTTAAACATTGTTGTTAAAAGCCAAAAATAATATCTTATGTGATTCCCATTTAACATAAAATTAAAAAATAACATAAATACCTTCAATACGATTAAATCGAGCATGAAATGTATTTTTTATCGATTTATATATTTTCAGAACTTTATTGATTTGAAATGGCATATTATTAGCCCCATTATTTTCATTATTTTTGCATGACTTTCTTGTCGTCTCTTTCTCTCAGTTTGTTTATTACCTGCACGGAAAGAAATCAGGTTAATGTTTTACTGATATTATTGAAAAAATGTTTAATTTTATTCACAAATATTTTAATATATGTATTTGATATTGACCAAATTTTACGTTCTTTAAATTTGTTTTATCTAAAAATGATCAGTTTATAATTTCAATTGAAAGTATCTGCGTAGAATCAAATTTGCCATTCTAATTACCAAAAAGCTTAATTTTAAACCCAAAATTTTATCAGAATCCTAGCACGATATAACAAATTTAAGCAACTTTGATCCGTTTACATTAAACTTTAAAAAGTATTAAGTGAACTTTTTGGACAGTGCGTCGCTAAGTAAACCTGTCTTTTGAATTTTAAAATAAATGAGTTATACAATTCTAAGAATATACTTTTAGCGTTGAGATTTTTATAAGCATTTTTTGATTATTACATTGCGTAGTTTGGTTTTTTTACAGTGCGGACTTCTCTTTGCATGCCTTTCTTGACGTCACTCCTTCTCGGTCTTTCTTTTTGACCGCGCAAAAGAGAAGCTTGACAAAAGGGCTTACGTGTCCCAGAGAAGATTTCGTGGAAAGGCCATTAAAACTTCTTTTTTCGGGGGCGCAACAGCGGGGCTAACGCGGCCGATGTCAAATGGCCCAACTTTTAATGGAGCCAAGGAGTTTCCTTTTCCATGTCGGCGGGCTTTCCCCCGAATTTTCTCTCACTTCGCTGAGGCAATTTGTGCAATTGCGAAGGCTCTCGTGCTTTCTTAAACAGAGAAAAAAAAAACAGAGACCCAAAAAACTGACTTCCTTTTCGGAGGCCATCATCAAAATTTTGTTGGCCAGCTCAGAACAAACAGTCAACGTAGCGTGTCGCCCTTTGCATATTTGCCTTAATTTTCATTATTCTCATATTCATTTCGTTTTATTTCTTTCCGGCCTTTAATGGGCCGCGATTTGAGGGAATGATGAAAAATGCTGATAGGCCAAGTTAATATGAATGAATGATGATAAATGCGCAATGTTTTTGTTCATAATTAATTTTTACTGTTTCGCTTTTTTCTTTTGTTCGAGTCTAAAGTGGCCATTAATGGCACGAGTGTATGATTCGGGTCACGTTTTTGCCACGGAAAATCACTAGCTCGGTGCAAGTTGGTCAAAACAAAAGCGACCATAATCAACAGGTGTGCAGATTACATCGCAAACTTCGCCCAAAATATATGATTTTATTCGTAAGGTAATTATTACAAAATATATTGAGTTTTAATCCTTAATAATCCTATGTACTTTTGGATTTAGTCCTCTTTTATCACCTTTTTTGAAAACTGAGTTCATACAAATGTTTGAAACAATTAAATCTGTACTAAACAACTATCAAAAAACTATTATAAGGAAATGGAAATACTTGTTCTATAAAAATATTATATAAAGGAAAGGTTTAATTTTTACAATTAAGATACATTTTACAACTGTTGTTCAGACAAACCAAATGGTGGAATATAAACTCCCTTACTAAAATTTGTTTTTCGAACTGTCGTACAAAAGTTTGAATCGGTTTCATAACCACCAGTGCAACATATATTTTCCGGCAAAATCACTCACCTAAACCCCTCCCATTCCCAAGGGCGATTCACACCTAAATAACCCGCCATCGGCTGTCATAGTTTTTCCTTGAGAACTTCCAAATGCAAAAGACCAGGTGAGTGTGACAGAGTTATAGAGTTGTATGCGAACACGTCTACCTGGTCGTTCAAGTACGGCAATCTGAGCATGACGAATAATGATTTTACACCGCTCCAAAGAGTTCTGAGTGGGGCGATGGGATGGTATGGGATGGTATGGGATGGGATATGCAATGGTTCAGTTTGTATGGGATGGGTGTGGGCATACGGGTGGGGTGAACTTTGGAGCGGAGTTTTTCTTTGAGACAAGGCAAGACGAAGTCGGTCGCCAGGGTAAAAATACTGGCGAAAAGTGTGCAAATTTGTGTGAGAGTTTGTGTGTTGAACGGATGAATTTGAAATTTGCATTTAGTTGGCTTATTGAGTTTGCATCTGTATATCTGTCGTGTTCGCAGCTCCTTTTAAAGCAACTCCAACGGTTTATTTCATTTGACTGCAGTTTGCCCCAAAGCAAAGAGGCGTCAGTGAAACACAGAAAAGGGGGTCAGGGTGGCAAAAATTACGAGAGGGGGAGGTTGTCAAGAAAGAATGCATACACGGGGAAAATCCCTTTTGTCATTTATATTTATTTTATTTATCAAATATCCCACTATCAGAATAGAAGTCATAATAAACATTGTTTAGCTCGATAAAGTTATTGGTTTTTTAACGAAAAAAGTGATGTCTGATAAATATGAAATGTTTATGTTCATTTACATAAAATTTATAAAGAATTTTTTTAATAGATTTCCATATAAAAAAGTGTCACTCTTCTAGCTCGACAAAGTAATTGTTTTTTTTTTTTGTTTTAACAAAAAATGTTGTCTAATCAATCTAAAATGTTTATATGATAAATATATAACGCTTATATTTATTACCAAACAATTTAAAAAATATTTTTTGTATAAATTTGATTTTAAATTATTTGCATTAGCCTTTGTCATTGACTTATATTAAGAAAAGGATATTTGAATTGAACAACTGTCTTATTAATGGCTAATTATCGATATATTTTCTCTATGTGTACATGTAATATGGGCACTTGGGCAGAATCACTTTTGGGCCACTTGTTTCTCGAAATTGAAAACCATGAGGCGCATTTAAAAAGATGAAGTGACAACTGGCATACTGATGACGACACAGAGGGGAAGGGGTTGGGGGCAAAAGGGAACATGAGTCTGAGGGGGGGTGAGAGAAGCTGTAAGTGTGTGTGGAGCGTATAAATATAACAAGTGCCAAGTGAAATATGTACATAAATAAGCCAGCGCAGAGATATGTGAGGCAGATGCAGATACAGTGATCTTTCGCCTCTAACAAAAACTTATATTATTTTTTTACGTAACTACTTGCTTTTGGAACTAAAACAATGATTACAAGCCGAAAGTATGTTTTTATTATGTTTATAGTTTATGTAGATTTTGTGAAGAAACGTCTTCAAGAAATTACACAAATTAGTTTTACAGAAGCAACGTTTAAAGTATCACCGAATTTAATTATATTCTATTGTTGATGGTTGAATATATTTTCCAACTCCATTTTTTTTGACATGGCTGTTGTACTTGGGGTTCTACTGTACCCTTTTGTCTACTACTTTCGCCATTTCTGTGTCTGTTTCTACCGCTGCATTTCTGCATTTTTGCATTTCTGCACTTCCAGCAGCTGCGACTAATTGTTGAAAAGGGAAAAATATATTAAATAAAAAAAAAGAAAGAATAGATGGAAATAAAAAAAAGGGGAGTGATACGCCAGAAAAGGGCTAAAAGGAGACAGGATGCGAAGGACTTGTTCGCGCCGACTGCGAAAAGTGCAACAAACTTTGACAAAATAAAACGAAAATCCTGCCCAAAGGTATGAGACCGGGGCGTGGCATAAGGGGGCGGCAAAGGGCGGCGAACGAATGAAGCGCCCCCTTTTTGCAACTTCAAATCGCAAACCCACACAGTCCGCCACAGCTGGAGATTCTCACACACATGTGAAAAAAGCGCGAGTTGCAAAAGGAAAAAAAAATGCATTGAAATTGAAGCACTCTCATTAGGAAGAAGAAGTTGCAGCAAGAACCAGAAGAATAAGAATTGAAGTCGAGAAAAAGAGCTGAAACCGCAACATAAATTGCCAAGAATTCGATAAAGTAGACAAAAAATTAACTGGTTACAGAAAATGCTTAATATACTCTATTAAAAACAAAGTTCTTAATGCTGGCTACTGAATTTCGACTGTATTTAAAACTAAGTTACTATTAGTTAAAATAACACAAATTACATAAAACATTAATATTTTATTTTATAAACTATGTAAACGGGGCAAACTTTTAGAAATATTTAACAAAAAAAATTCTACATAAACTGGAAAACAATGTTGAACAATGATTGCGAAAAATGTAGCCATTAAATTTGAGTTTATCTGTTAGAAGCGAATTAAAATAATTTTTCACTCCCTAAAGTGCACACTGTAGTTAAAGTACCGGTCGCCCACGTAACTGACAAAAATGTTGAAAATGTTGCAGTATAAATAAATGATTGTCATTTAAAGCGATGTTTTTACCTAATTTGTTGTTGCACCGGCTTGTTTTTTTTATTAAGAACTTGATAATAATACAAAATCAAGTACTGAATATTTTGACATTTATTGCCTATAGAGAAAGATAATAACGCTAAACAGCTCATCAAAAATGTTTAAGAATAAAAATGTTCCAACTGTTAATGCCCAAGAGGTATTCGTCGAATTCTTCATTAATCATTAAATAGGTTGATTAAGAACAATATTTTTTCCAATAAGCAGAGTATAATCGTGTTGACACGGCCACGTAGGTGACGAAACAAAACAGCGCCGCAATAAACGAAAACGAAAAGTTAACACAGGAAAAACACTCAGTTCCCAGATAAGAAGGGGTTCCAATATATTCCCCCAAATTAGTAAGTTAAGCGGTATATTTTACTTGATTTATTGTTGTAGCGCCGGATTCTTCACTAATCATTGCTATCAGTGTGAGGCAACAACAATAGCTCCCTCTTTCTATTTTTTTTGCTTTTTCACTCCCCTTATTGTTGTTGTTGTTGTTCCTGTCTCGTTTCAAATATGAATTGCTGTTGTTTTATTTGTTGTTGCTGTTATTATTGTTGCTTGCACTTGTTGTATTTTCGTCACACAAACAAACAAACACCCACACAAACAATGTTGCACGTTGCGTGTGCTCTTCCTCTTTCCCCGCCGAAGAATCGTAAACAAATGCAGTGCACACACTTCGACACGCGACACCTTGTCCCACTCACGTCTTTTCGGCTAGGTTTGCAGTTTCAGCACTCGCCAAAAAAGTTGCAGCGCGTTCGCCCCGTTTTAGCGCGGCCACTAAGTTAAACACTCGTTTTAGGTCTGAAGTTGGTACGAATTTGGTTACTACGCTAAAATCGCGACTTTCCTTCGCTAGAGGTGGGGAGACTTCGATGATATCATCGATTGTTCAAAATATTGGTCCTATCGATGTTTGGCAGGGACTATCGATGGACATTTGGCTAACATTTTTCGTTAGTTCGACGTTTGGCTAACATTTCGTGGTGAGCTTCGCGTCTAGAGCTGAAATATTGGTTAAATCAATGCTTTCAAGACATCAGTGTCATCGAAGTTTGGCGGGGCATCATCAATGTTTTCCACTCACTACAGCGCTGTTAGAAAAACGATGATAACATTCTGTTGGCATGAATTTAATTTCACATTTCTGTTAGGAAAATGTCGATTGTCGTTACAAAAACGATGATTTTGTATTTTCGAACAAAACTGCTCAGGGGCTTTGGATTGCGGCATCATAATCAAGAACAGTTTTGGAGAGGCACAACGCTTTTGTCTGCTTTCTATTTCCTTTGGCGGGGCAACATCGATGTTTTGCCATCCCTTGTTCACTGTTAACGATTTCAGTACACTTCTTAGGAGTATGTCTTTGCTACTTGCGGAGTATGTATCCGCTAACTATCGATAAATATGGCGGATGTCTTCGCCAAATTCCAAATGTGCCTTCACTAGCTGCGGAGCATGTCTTCGCTAGCTGCGGTCAAAGCTTCAGCGCCACTTAGCGGACCGCAGCGGAACCGAGCATTAAAAAGTTATTTCCCTAAAAAGTCATATTTCGTCCCGTAGGTGGAGCCAGAACTATTACAAAAGTAATATCATCGCTGAATTGAATTGACTTTGCTTTGTTGTGGCCCAAAACTTTGAATTTTAAAGCTAATTGATTGATTATGGTAGTATTATTTCCATTGTTGTTCTGAAAACTCCTACAATTTTGGGCAGGAAAAAAGAGCTGTTCAATAATCGGGATCAAATTAAAAAAATAAGATATTTTCTATACCAGAAGAGAACCCACTACTGAAATGGTCACTTTTTTGTCTAGTATGTATGTATTTTTGGGTATGACTTTATATCTTACTGAGTTTTACGACTCGCCCTCGATCGAGTGTTTGTTAAGTCACTTCGCGAGTGCAAATGGTTAATTATGCTATTAGTAGGCGACGATTTATGGCCAGAAATCAACCAATTGTTGCTAATTGATAACCGACTTGATAGTCCCGTAGTAAAAATTTACCCACATCCGCGAAGCTTCGAAATTTCCATGACATCCACAGGTAGCTAATATCAGCAAAACACTCGATGAATGAGGGAATTTCTTAGATTTAAAAGACTGATTGCAATAAATAATATCAGCAATCTATATTTGAATATGCCCTTACAATTTAAAAGCTGTTTAATTTGCTAAAACATTTTTATGTTAATCCAAAATGGCACCTCCAAACGTTTGTGGATTAATTCTTGAAACAACTATACTAAAACTTAGCATTGTAAAATATACATGAGCTGTTTATAATTTTTCTAAATCTAAAACTGCAAAAAGATTTCAATGATCAATGATTGTGCAAATGATAAATTGTGTTTATCAAAAGTAAATGTTTATCGAATATAATACGGTTACCAATCTTTAGTAGATTTGATGTTGCCGTTGAAATATTTTTTAAAAATGCTTTTTTCCAATTCTTCACTGCTAATTGTAAAAAAAAGTTTAACATATAATATATTTTTTTGAAACTGCACAACTATTATTTCCACCGTTGTGTTAAGCAAAAGCGATTTTCCTGAATTGTGCTTAACCTCATATCTGTTAGAGCGAACTTTTCATCGAATTGGCTAATTTCAGAGAGTTTAAACATGGGCCTTACAAGAACCGAGTCATCAAAGGTTGGCTCCCTTATCTGGGCTTGTGTGCTCCGATAAGGCAACGGCATATCAACGGCATCGGACGGAAACACGGAAAGACCATTAAGTCGGCCACCTCTTCAGTTGGATGCCGGAGCTGCTGCAGAACGGACAAACGGACAAGGAAAATGACAGGTAAGCAAATCGGGGCAACAAGATGCCATAACAAGAAACCATTTGACCGGACTGATATTTAATGATATCAGTTACATTTCGTTTTACTGCATCATTTTAGTGTTACAACTTGTAACTTGTAACTAACCAGTCAAAAAAGGTTTTTAAACAATTCGATAGGTCTGATAAATAACCATGAAATTCTCAGTAGTTTCATAAATAGCAGATAAGGATTTTTAAGCTATTCATGTTTAAGTTAAAATTTATATATAAATCTTCAAAAGCCAGAATATTACTTAAGCTTACTTGAAAGAGCTTAACATTATTGTGACACTTTCCCTGTAATTTCGTATAATTCAAATGGCTTTATAAATTGTGTTTTAGTTGTCCTCAAATGAATACTGAAAATATCTTATATTTTTCATAATATCGTAAGGAATATAATAAATGCAAATCACTTATAATTTTCTTGTTACGTTGTGGTTACGTTTATAAATTGTCCATATTAACATAACAATATGGTTGAAGAGGATATACATTTCTTTACCAAATTGAAAATTACTAATAAATTTATTAATATTCACACTGCACTCCCGTAGACCACAGATGGATGCACTTTAGCCACGGCAGCGTGCCGCCGAATGCCGTGGTGGCCGGCCACGACTCGGACGGGGACACGATCTTCGTGGGCCGCGCCTTCTTCCAAAACGACATGCTGCCGGCGAAGGTGATCCCGAACAAGGGCCGGGCCTACGTGGCGTATGCGCGCGAGGAGCACGAGCTGGAGAACTACGAGGTGCTGGCCGGTTACAACTACGAGTGGCTGCCGGCGGAGAACGGAGAGGTGCCGCCGGGGGCCGTCAAGGTGGGCCGCAACGTGGACGGGGAGTTCCTGTACGCCGGCCGGGGCTACCACGCCGGCAGCCTGACCATGGGCAAGGTGCACCCCTCGCACGGCTGCCTGTACATCCCCTACGATTCCGATGAGGTGAAGATCTTCGGCTACGAGGTGCTGTGTCAGCCGGAGCGCTGGGTCGACACCACGGCCACGGACATACCGGATGGCGCTCTGGTGGCCGGCCACGACTCCAACGGCGACACCATCTACGTGGGCCGCGTTTTCCGCAACGGCGACTTGCTGCCCGCCAAGGTGGTGCCGGCCAAGGGCAAGGCCTATGCCGCATATGCCCAGGCGGAGCACGAGCTCACCGATGTCCAGGTGCTCACGGGATCGGGCTTCCAGTGGGTGCCTGCCTCGCACGGAAATGTTGCGCCCGGAGCCCTGTCCTCCGGCCCGAATGTCGACGGGGAAGCCCTGTACGTCGGACGGGCCATTTACTGTGACAGCCTGAGCGTGGGAAAGATCCATCCCTCGCACGGCTGCATCTACATCCCCTTCGGCGGCGAGGAGGTGCGTCTGGAGCACTACGAGGTCCTGGCGAGGATCTAGATCCTGTGTTTTTTTTTTTAAATTTTTTTTTATCAAGAATAAATTTTATGTTAATAAAAGTGCTCATACAACGTAATGGTGAAAAATAAATTATGTGTTCCTAAAAGTAAACAATATATTTTTGATATTTTTAAATACCTAACGCACGTATTTTAACTTTCCAAAAATACAATTTTTTTAATTTTATATCAACAAAAAAGTTATGAAAAATCCATTATTTATGTGTTCCTAAACGTAAAGAATTTATTTCTTATTTAAAATACAAAAGTAAATTATTAAAAAAATATTTATGCGTTTGTGTTTTCGTGATTTATTTTTTTCAAAAAGCTTTCAATTTTATATATTCAAATTGTTTAAATCAATCGATTAGTTTTTCATAAAAGAAACGCATTTATTTTGGGTATTTTTAAATAAAAAAAAATATATCTGCTTATGTGTTTTTAGAAATCACGAATTTTCCACCATTCAACTTTTGCAGCTAATATTCGCCATTTGAATGATTGGCGGGAATCGCTTGATCCTTTATTGTTCCGCTCATTGGACTTTCTTGCATCCGCTTTTCCGCATTTCCACTCCCCCACGCCCACGGTCACGCCCACGCACTCCACTTATTTAGTGGTCGCTGGCTTTGCATTTCGTGTTGCTTTTGTTGTGCCAGCATTGTTGCCTTTCAATGATTTTTCTTGTTTTCGCTTTCAAGTGGATCTCAGGTTGGTTTGTTTTTTCGCCCATTTACAACTATTTGAACGAGGGAAAAAAGGAAAAAACTGTTCGAAAAAGTTGAGGGGAGGTCGGTGAAATTGCTGTGCAAGGTTTGCACCTGTTTACAGTGGCTTGCCAAGTCCGCAGGGGTGGGATTAATAAGCTTTGAGCGGGTTACAGGGGATTCTCACCGCATTTTCCTCAACTTTGCCATCACTTTTTCCTCTCCCTTCGTGCAAACCAATTATCCCGAGATAACTCAAACTTTGCCTAATAAAACAGCATTTTCTGCAATTGCCAAAATGTTGCAGACTCAAATGCTTTGGTGGGATTTTGTTGTTCTGCGTAAACCGAAGTAATATCCAGCACTTAAAACCAGAGCACATTAAATGCTACTTAAAGAATGGCTAGCCCAAAAGTGTTTGCATTCGTGGAAATTCATGGCTGGGAATAGGGGTAATGTTTTTATTTAAAAGGGACTAATGATATTGTCCCGCTCTACCTGTTCCATTGCTCGTTGCCTTTTTTATCCGTTTTTACCCCATTTGTACGCCTTTTATTTTGCCTCTTTTCTCTGTTTAACCAACTTAATTTTGCCTAATACATTTTAATCATTTCCACAGTGCCTCGAACTAAATTCCCCCTTTCATTAACCCCTTGCTGCCCCAGCCCATCTATCTGTCACGCTTTCCGCTCTCGATTCGCATCCGTTCACCATGGGTCCTCGTTTTCTGGTTATCCTTTTCTGGCCGCTTTGCTGGTCCCTTTTACATTTCGAAAAACAATTGGATATTGTATAAAATGATGTAATATTATATTCTGGCCTTTTTTACTATAATACAATATTAATGCATTAATATTCTTATTTCTTGTAAGAAACATTTTAATACCTACACTATTTTTTAAAGATATTATAATGTGATCAATTTTTGCAAATTTATTTAATCAATACTTAAACAAAGATTTTCTTGGATTATACCAGTTTTTTCAGTGTCGTTTCTATTCCCTTCCGAAAAAAACATATTTTTATTAATTTATCTCTAGTTGCTTAGTCTATAGAGATGCAATATCTTAAGTTAAGATTTATGGGGATAATTTGCTAATACTTACCTTTTTTTGGACACCCTGAATTTAAAAAATATTTGTGCTTAGTGTTTTAATTTTTTATGCCACCTTTCTTTCAGTGTCTTTTCATTTTTTTTAGTAAATTATATCTAATTGTTTTGTCTGTAATTATGCATAAACTTTAGTTAATATTATAGGGATCTAAAATAATTACTAAAAAATCATTCACTTCTAATGGCCCCTTAATCAATTGAGTTATACCATTTTGGTTGCTATTTATATTGTCTTCGCAGTATTTGTTCTAGTCCAATGTCTCGTTTTTCTTACAGTGTCTTTTCTATTGCGGGGCCAGTTGCAGTCGCGGTTTCGCTTTTTGGCCACACAATGCGGCACTTTTTCGGGGGCAGCCAGGGGCGGCAAACGGAAGGGGCTTCGTGCTAGGTGCATCCCGGTTTAAGGGGGCGTGGCTCGGGGGTCAGACACAGGCACACACATATTGCGCACTGTCTAGTCGTCGCCGGTCACTCACGTTGGTCTGCGGTTGCGACGAGTCTGGCTTTGCTCCTCTGCTATATCAGCTAATGGATACAGTCCTCCACATTAGCCCTGTGCAACCCCCCTTGACCCCTTGACCCACCCACGCCCATTAATGCCGCCCACGCAAAACTAGAAACATCAACAAACCAAAGCCAACCGAAATGTGGAGCATTCAGTGGATTTAATGGTGCGTTGGGCACCATTCGGCACTTTAAGATGCACCAGCTTTAAAAAGGGGCTGTGAACAGGGGCGTATGGCGTAGGGGCGTAGGGGCGTAGAAGGGGGCGGGCAGGAAGTACGTAATGGCAGTCATCTGGTAATACGTAATTAGGGGCGTGGTTTCAGCTGCAGCCACAGCTTAAAGTCTCATCAACGAGTCCGGCAATTTCAATTGTTGCCCAGGACTTTTTGCAATCGGCATAACCAGTGGTTAAAGTGGGCTAAAGCGGGTGAAAAAAGGGGTTTTAAAAGGTAGTTAAAAGGGCGGGTAGGGGGTGTTGGGGAAAAGAGGTGCTCTTAAAAGCCGGATAGTGTGTTTGTGACCTGGGACCATTTATGATTTGTGAAAAAGTTGCGTGGGCACCGAGGAATGCGGTTTCATTACCAGCCACACTCCCCCCCTCTACGTCCCTGCTACAACCCCTTCGATGCAACCCCCCTCAGGAACAACTTTCATCCGCCAGCGGGTGAATTAGTTGCAGGAAGCGGTTTAAGAACAGAATTGAGAGCGAAATCGATTCGAAACCATCGTAAATTTATGACCCAAAATCGAAAATGGAGAAGTTTTGAAATATAAATGGTTGGTTAATATAACTAAATAAATTTCTTCGACATTTGACTGAAATAAAAAACCTTCGATTAACACAAAATTCAGTTTGTGCTACATGCTAAACAGAAAAAAAAAATGGATTTTAAAAATGCAATAAGTCAATACATTTTTTTCACCTTTAAATTAAATGCATAATTTTGTTGACATTTAAATCCTGAGTATTATAGTCAGTCAAATGGAAATAGTTATTTATTTATCTACATATGTTGATTCATACACAAATTTATCTTTAATCTGGCTTAATTATTATTATTATTTCTTTCACCAGAGAACGCAAGTGTTGCTTTTAAATCCGATTAACTGAACATACAATTTATGTTTTTATTTATAAATAGAGTTAAAATATTTGTTAGATTTTAAGTATTGCATAAATAAATAATAGAAATATTGCGTTTTGTGTCTGTTTTGTTGTCCTTTATCTTAAAATTAAAAACAAAAATGAAAACTCTTTAAAAAAATGGAAAACCGTTGTCCTGAATTCAAGAATTTCCATTGCTGCTGTTTTTCTGACTAATCGCTGCTTGAAAGGATCAAAATGCTGCTGCCTTTTGGGAGGATCTACCAGTTTCGACACAAAAGGGAACTTTTAATTATACATCGCCCCGCTGGCCCTCATTCACTCAACTTCGCTTTTCCGGGCATATCCAGCCAGTTTCCATTTCCCGGCTCATTGCTAAACTTCTCGGCACAACTTGAAAGGCAGCAGTGGGAGTGTGGAAAGTGGAGTGCACAAAACCGAAGGAGTGGAACATCGGGGTAAGGGACATGGCATTTTACAGCTTGATTTCCATTTGCCCATAGAGCTCTTTATTTGTTTGCCTCCCTCTCTTGGCTTTTCCATGCTTTTCCAGGCTTTTCCATGACTACGACTCAACTGGTGGCGGTGAACAGGAAAAAATAATACAAAACTGTGAACCATTGTGGAAAAGAATGGTATGTTTTGGCTAGCATATTTATATCAAAATTTGTTAAGCCTATATAATTTTTATTTAATTTTTCAAATATTTCAACGTGCCACAAATTAGTTTTCTTAAATGTTAATTTAGTTAGAAGCTCACAATTACAGTTCATGCAATAATCAAGTTTTGATATAAAGTTGCTATATTTTTCAAATAAATGTATTATGTTATTATTCTGTATTTATATAGATTTTAAGACAATTTGTATAATTCTATTTTTTCTCTGTTTGCTGAACATATTTCACGCTGTTTTGCCAGGCTCTTTGAATTTAGAAGTCCTCAATTAAACTGGATATTGTTTGGGTTGAGAGCCCTCGCCACCCCTTTGTTAACCCTTTAACAACATCTATGGCAATAAAAGACAAGTTTATTGCCGCACACCCATGAATATTTGTCTTTGCAGCTCAACTTTTTCTCCCAAAAGAGCAATCGCCGGAAATGTGTTTCATTGTTGTTTATTTGGTTCGCAGCTAGTTTGTAGTTGTAGCAGCTAACCAACAAAAACGAAAAAAAAACGAAGTTTGCAAATAAAAAAAGGATTAATACAGTTTATGGGAAAGTTTCGAGGGGTTGAGTTTGAATTGGGTTCGCTCAGCATATGTGACCATATTAAGTGTTTTTTGATGATTTTCAATCCCTTGAAGACATGCTACTTTCGCTTAAAATTATTGAAGACAAATTGCAAATATATTTTTCTTAAAGTAACATTACCACTTTATTTAACAAGTTTTGTTTGGTAAGCGACTTTCCTATGATTGATTTTTTTGCCTAATAATATTACCTTTCAAAAGAAAAATTTCAATTATTTCTAAATTTTTTTTTTGCTTAAAAATAAAACGTTGATCCATTAACCCAATTTTTAGATAAAACAAATCGTTTAATGCAGCTTTTTATTGGCTTGGAAATCCATTTAATACAAAAAGAGGGCAGTTAAATTAAAAAAAAAAAATGAAACTTAAAGTTAACCCGAAGGATTTCCATATTGGCCAACTCCTTTTTACACTTTACAGTTGACCGCTCAGCTCGTCATCGAAATCGGAGGTGGGCGGCGTGTCCTTGACATCCGCCCGCACCGTGTACTCCTTGTCGTTGACGCTGTAGTAGATGTTGAAGTACCTGCCCGACTGAATCCGCATGGCCAGGTAGCCAGTCTGGCCGAGATCCCTGGCGGTGCGCTGGTAGATCACATGTCCGCTGCTAAGGATCACCCGCATCTCCTGCGATCCATCGTCGTTCTTGCGGGCATTCTGCCGCAGGATTTGCACCAGCTGGGATCTCAGAGGATTCGAGCTGGGCTTCAGTCCGGGCAACTGGAGGAGCGGCTCACAGCGGCAGCTGAGCTTCTGGGTCAACGGACAACTGGCCTGGGGATTCGGCGAGGATCCCGGGATTTGATTAGATGGTGCAGCTCCACCTTGTTGCACAGGAGCCGCTCCGCCCAGGCCCAGATTTCCCAGATTCAGGCCACCCAGTGTGCCGAAACCTCCATTCAGGGTGCCCAATCCCAGGCCACTGATCAAATTGGGCAGCCCACCCACCCAGGTGCCAATTATGGGCAGATTCTGGCCGAAAGCGGGCAGCCAACCCTGCTGCGGCTGCTGACTCTGGGCATTCGAGTTGGAGGCCACGGGCGTCACCACCGTGATGGGCTGCAGGGGCTGCAGTTGTTGCAGGGGCGGCAGTTGCTGGAGGGGCGGCAGCTGTTGGAGGGGGGGATTCACATTCACCCCATCGAAGAAAATGGGAAACGAGCCACTGGAGCCGGCCAAGCTGCTCTGGCCACCATTCGCAGTCTGGAAAATATAAACAAAGTCAGATTTATAAAATATAACACCAAAATAGTTTGCCACATGAATTATATTTCAAAAGAGATCTTTGCTTTAATATTCTAAAAAATATTAAAGAAAAATATTCAAAATACAAGTATTTCTTAGGATGTGAAACATTTTTTAAGGGGCTTACATTGTTATATTTAAAAAGGTTGTCCCTATTTAACATAATAATATGATTTCACATCATTGGAATGCTTAGCTATGAACATTTTTGTGGGAAACAATTGACAAATGTTTTTTAAAATATTGTTTATTAATTATTATTATAAGCAATTAATATTTAATAAATAGTAATCCTTTTTGTCACTCACCAATTGCCGTTTGTCACGTCGGTCTAAGGACTTCATGGGGCCGCTGCTCATCTGCTTTTCAGTGGTAGTGGGCATGGGTTCCCTGGTGGCTGCTGTTGTTGTGGTTAAAGCCAGACCGACAGCTATAGCACTCATAAAGATGAGCAAACTCAGTTTGTTAGCCATGTTCTCAAAAAATTGATGTTGAGCTCTGGCAAATTGATGTGGTTTTTTTGTGTAAAGTTCTCTGCCAATTCCTTGAGGATTGTTCTTAGTCAGAGTTTGCTTTGATTTGCTTTGATGTGGTGACCAGAACCGCCACTTCTTATATATGATTTTTGGGGTCTCATATCCAGACATTTTATGATTTTCGGGGTGCAGTAAATGGAACCAGATTTGCAAAGAATCCAAATTTGTTTTAATAAGGACTTAATTGCAAAAAAAAAAAGAAGAAAAAACTGGATTTGCTGACACAGAATGTGGGTCAGCATTTAATAACGGCCGTATATTTATGTATATATTCCTGCCAAATTACACCACCTTCGTTTCAAAGTTTATGAGTCTTAAATTCAATATTATCATGGACTAACACACACACTGCAGTTCTCCAGTAATTTTCTGGAGGCGTGCACTTAATTTTCCAGACAAAACAGAAACAATCAATAGTTACCTTTCTATTGTTTCTCAATTTTGCCAAAATTAAGTTTTCCCACAATGCAGATTCCCAAGCTTTTGGCAAGGAGCCCCTAATCCATTCTATTAGTATTTAATAACTGACACGCCATAGACATACCCTACATTTTACTATGAATACTTGTGAAATTGTCAATTCGTTTTTGTTTTATTATAGTTGGTAACACGGATTTATTGTTTTGCGATTTTTAATGAAAAATATATGGTGTTTGTCCTAAATAAAGAGAATTTTTATTTTGCACCCATTATTTAAATGGTTTTCTTTTTTTTAATAAACCTCCCATAATTATTGCAATTTTTTTCCCCAAAAAAATGCTGCGGATTGCTGTTTGTTATTAGGGGCACATGGCATGGCATATACTTTAGCATACACATATAAAAATGTTTTAGGTATACAGTTTTTGACAAATTGCCGGGGGCTTGCCATGTCCAGCGGCCAAAATCAAATCAAATTAAATTTGTGCCAACAAAAAAGTGCAGAAAAAAGGGAAACAGGAAATTTGGGCTGGATGGGGGCGGAATTGTTTCGTTTGCATGGAAATTGCTGTGAGAGATTTTCAATTTTCCTGGAGGAAAGAAAAGGGAAATAAGAAAGAAGTAAAGTGAAGTGAACAAGTTCCTTGACAGCCGCTTGCTGTTGCGGACTCATAAATCAAAAAGTTTTTGACAAATTGCACATTAAAGACGCCTTTGATTCAATTAAATAGAATTTGAATTAAATTATAAGGCTAGCTGCCCTTGAAAATGCGCCAAAAATAAACCAGAATGTGAACGAGATAAGCAGACAAAGTTGAAACCGGTTTGAGCCGAAAGGCAAGCTTTAAAAATATTATAATACTTTACAACGTCCAATATATTTTATGAGACATGGCTAAGGAACCGAAATGACGGCGAAGAATCACCAGCAGATAAATGCAGAAAGTTGGCCAAAATAGCAAGAAATCCAAGTCATCAACAGCAGATGCGCCAGCCATGGAAAATCTCATTATAAATGACCCTGTTTAAATTTCACGAAAGGTATCATCAAGTAAATGAGCAAAAGGCCAAAGAACACTGGAATGAGGAGGAAGAAAACAAATTCTTTAATTAAAAAATATATATACAAATATTTTCAGTTACTAAACCAATGAACTTCGATCACCCCTTGCACAAACAAACTCCGATGCAAATACCCATTAGCACATTTACGAGCGTGATTATAAAGATTTTAACAATCCTGCACTTGAGCTCCTCACGCTTCACAATCATGTATTCATTTACCGATTTTCATCATCTTTCGGGTATTATATTATGCACTTTAACCCCTTGGTGGGTTACAAGCAAACTGAATTTGTGTCTTGGCATTTATTTAAATTGAGTGAAATTAAAATTAGTTTCAATCTTTGGCATGTATTGATGGCATATTTATTCGACTTAAAATATGTGATGATAAAAGAAAATTTAATAAACACATGATTTAATGAACTAGTTTAGTAATAAAAAACAAATTAAAAACGTATTTTCTTTAATGAACAATAAAGCATGTATAAGCAAATCTGCAGGAATTTAACGAAGGCAACGCTGCGTATGAGTAATGCTCAACTTCATTGAATTCATTACTTAAGTAATTAAAGTAGTCTAAATGTCCAAAAGCATTGTTTTCCGCTTAGAGATTTTAAAGCTTCAATTAGTTTCACAATTATTTGAGCTACACAGCGTTTAATTAATATACAAAGGCTTGATATTTGTCCCAAACTCAAGGGTTAAGCTGCAGCTTCGACTGTTTATTATTGGCCCTCCTCCAAAGCAGCCGCCTCAAAAGCCGGCTTATTTGCCGTTCGTGGCGCATAACGGTATTGTAGCCATATATATATATATATGTATATAGTGTATTCCTGATGGCCAAAGTGCAGCTGACGATGACGACGATGATGATGATTCAGTCAACTTGAAATCAGCAGCAGCGAGAAAGAGAACCAGAACGAGAACGCCCTTGATTCGTATAAATACAAGTCCGGGCCTTTTGGCAGCGTGCAAAAGGCAAGGAAAGGCGCCCGCAGACATGTCATCAAACAGAATCCGGCCGGAGTGGTTGCTGCTGCTGGCGGCGACACTAATCCCGATGCTGCAGGCCGGGATAGTTAGGGATCAGGATCCGGATCCGGATCCGGACACCACCATTGCTAGCACAGACCTGGACTTGGGCCAAAGCCCCTATACAGAGCAGCTAGAAACGAAATCCGAGTCGCAAAAGGAGCCCTCTGTTCAAGTGGATGGCCGACGCATCGACTGTAAATTGACTTTCGATGCGGCGACAATGGACTCGTTAGGTTGCCACAATGAGGGGGCGTGGCATCGGGCTGGTAATAAGCCGGTGGAGAAGCCACTGCAAAATCCGGACTGGCAGCAACAGCAACAGCAGCAACAGCATCGTCACTTGAAGTCCCCGGACAGCCAGCCCATCTATGAATTACAATTGGTTGTTTGGCCCACTGACATCGAGGATGGTGATGACTTTGGTCCGCCGCTGACCACCACAACAACAACAACAGATGGCACCACAACTAGCAGCAGCAGCAGCAGCAGCACCACCACCACCACCACCACCACCCCAAAACCCATCCAAGTTGGGACACCTATTGAGCAAATATGGCCATTGTACGAGGATCAATTGGTCGTATTTCCGCAAATGGACTTTGAAGAGGAGAATCTTGATTATTTCTTCGACGAAGTGGCACCACCCACATCAGCATCAACTACACGACCTGCAACCACCAGCCATCCCACGGGCACGCCCACACCCACGCCCATTTATGTTGTGCAAAACTATCACGTCATACACCCCAATGGCACCGAGGAATACAAGTAAGTTGGCTCAAACTAATTAATTAAAATATATGCCGGTCACAAGCAATTAAATCGAATTTGGGCTCCCAAAAGTTTCACCAATGATTTGTGGATATTAAGTACATTTTAAAAATGGTCAGGATACAATTTATTTAAAACTTTTATTTTGCATATGGAAAATAATTTTTCAATGCTTATGAAAAACTTAACAAATAATATATCCTATAACCAATCTTATACAAAACTTAACTCAATGATTTTTCTAGATCCATTTAAATAGCATTTAATAAATTAATGATTTTTGGCTTAGAAATTTGAAATAACTTCAAAAACTTGTATTTTAAAATCCATTTTAGAGTACCCACTTCAATAAAATCCCTCTAAAGTAAATTAAAACTTTAAATGTAAGCAGTTTTAACATTTTTGTAAGCCAATATGCTTTAAATTTTTCACAATCCACTATTTTGTTAGGAATAAAATTATATTTAGTCCATTAAAAATGTATGCTAATAGGATACTTTAAAATGTTTTCTATACCCCAGATTAGTGATGAGCAACGGTCTGGTGAACTACAAGAAGTTGTACACCAAGAAAGTGGGTGACCAGGTGATCAACGTGCAGGAGGGCTACAATTCAGTGCCCATTCCCGGGCCCAAGAATCAAATCCAGACGCAGTACTACATTGCCGACGAGCGGGGCTACAATGTCTACAGAAGTGAGTTGTCTGTCCAGAGTTGCCATCAATAGTGATTGTATATTCCATTTATCCCCCCCCCACACACATTTCTTTCGCCCCCAGTCGAGCTCCACTATCACCAGCCAGGGTTGCCCAAACATTTGCATTACAAAGCCACAAAAGCGACCAATATGTGAAAGAGGATGAACAGGCTTTTGAAGCGGTGGGCACAGTGGTCCTCAAGCAATGGATAATCATACTAGATATAGAGTATAGTTTTTTTTTCTTTTTTTTATAACTTATATAAGCTGATCTAGTTTTGAATAAATTTTGGAAAAAAGGTGGCATTTTTATTGGCTAATTTATTTTGATATATTTAAACTCCTATTACCATTATTATTAAAGGTTTCCAGCAGTAGAACAAAAAAAGAAAAACAAATTATATATATATTTTTATGAAATATTACTTAAGAAATATTTTTTTAACTGTAGTGGCAGTTTGTAGGCAGGGTTTGAATTTGAATATATACGTTCATTTGTAAATTTTTTTAAATAAAAATCTCTGTATTAAAATAGTTTATGAATAAATCTTTTGACCCAATGTTTACTTTGCCTGCTCTGCGGCAAACGAATGGCGAAATAAAATGTAATGCCCGCAAAATGATTTGCTGTATTTTTTGTGTTTGTTTGTCGTTCGTGGTGTTATATACATACATTATTTTTTGTTGCTGTTTTTGCTACTGTTGGCAGGTCTGATCTGTTCGTATTTTGTTTTTCCACTATTTTTATTTTTTACCAGATTTTGCAAACATTGAATGCTGTTGTTGTTGTTGTTGTTGTTTTGCTTGATTCCTATTCTATTTGCTGTTGCTTTCTCAATCGTAGTGTTGCTGATTGCCATCTTTGGTTGCTGTTGCTGTTGCTGCTGTTCATGTTGCTGCTGAACTGAAAGAAAAGTTTTAAAATATTTTAAACTAAATTCCATGTTGTTAAATATAGAATGCAAATTAGTTTAGAATTTTGGTTTATTAACTATAGATATTTTATTTAATTTGTTGATTGATAACATAACACCAAATAATATAATTTGATTAATACATTTTGAAATATGACTTGATTTCATTTATATGGTTTAATATTTCAAAGCACACATAAAATGTCCTATAATTTGTAAGCATGCTATTTTTTTGAAATCAGCTCAAATATTAAATCGATTTTGGTTTTTCTGTGTGCCTGCTGTTGTCCCACTTGAAAACCCCTGGGCAGTGGGGTGTTAAGGGCAGGGGCATGGATGATGCTGATGATGCCATTTAGATGCATATCAAAGCATTTCACTTTTGCCCAATCCTTTTGGCATTTTTGCATATGTATAGTATTTATTTATTTATTTATTTACTTTTTGCCTTCTGCTGCTGCTGCTACTGCTGCTGCTGCCAATGTCTTTGTTGTTTCTTTCAATTGTAGTTTATGGCCTGCCTTTCCCTCAATTTGCCCCGCCCCATATGCCACCGAATTCTCCCTGTTTGTTGTTTATGCCACAAAGTTTTCTTGGTCCTTGGGCGACAGCCTGTTGGCAGCTGTGCAAAGTTTTTTGGGTCTTGGCTTATGATTATTTAAAGCCTGGTTCGAACCCAACTTTATAGGCCTGTGCCGATGCCAATGATTTTCCCTGAATGTGTAAATTAAAAAACTATGGGCTTCGGGGTCTGGCAATTAAATTGAACACGAATTTTCCATTCTTATCAAGTGTAACTGTTTCACCTCATTTGCTGCAAACTGAGAAGTGCGGAAAAGTCTCGCCAGTGCTGCCATTTTGTCGTTTTTTTTGGATAGATTTGTTCCTTGTTCTCCTATCTTATTTCTTTACATGCCAAAATAGTTTAGTTTTAATAAAGATTATATTTTATAGTTACAATTTTATTTATACAATATTTATTTCAGATCATCACTATCTTGCCTGCAAATAAAGAAATAACTATTTGGCAAGCAACTCGCACATTAAATGTGGGCATGGGCATCCATGTCTGAACCAACTTGGCCTTCTTTTTGTCTAATTTTAACCTGGTTTCGGTTTGGGGTTACTTTTCAGTTTGCAGCTCGTATATCCTTTCCGTGTCGACTTGGTCTTCTTGGTCGCTTCTTTTACGGCCTTTGTAATTATCACTTTAATGAACTTTGCTAGTTTGATAGCGAACCTTTGCCAAAAGGTAGCAATGTGGCAAGGTAGCAATGAGCGAGATGGCTATCCCCTGGGAGAGAGAGATGGCTATATGGGGACAGAGGGAGAGGGGGCGATTGCAAGGACGCTACGTGCACAACCGGCTTTCCGCTTCCAGCGTATTGTGTGCCTTTGGTTTTTATTAAGGAATAAAATTAGTGAGCGCGTGCCGGGAACGCCAAAAATGCCAGTTGCAGTTCCTCCTTTGCTCTCCTTCGTCCTTCGTCCTTCGTCCTCCGTCCCTCATTTCCATCCCCTTCTGGGCGTAAAGGAAACGGAAGCAATGGCGAAAGTCTCAGAAGCACAGAAAGAAACCAGCGTAAATGGCCGTTTCGTTAACTAACTAATGGCCTCCATGCTTTTTTGCTTTTAAGCAGTTATATCTTGGTTAAACATTTTTTTTTTAATTTCTAACAATGAATATGGGATGTTTAAGGTTTATGTATTTTTAAATAAACGGCTAAATAAGTTTATTTATTTATTTGTTTATTTATTTATTGGATCATTGGATATTTCAAAAAATCCTAATCTGGCTATTTTATATCTAATTTATTCAAAGTTATAAAAATATTTTGTAATAGATTTTTATATTTCTTTTAAATCCATTTTTAAGTTCTTAGTGATATTTCCTGTAAGATTTGACATAAGCGTTGATTTCGCTTGCTAAAAAAAAACAAAAACTAGGCTTTAAGTTCCAAATTTATTAACACGAATTGTATATATGATTAAAGTAACAGAAGCCAAAAGCAGTTTATTTGTTAATTTTTAAAGTGTAAACATCATACAAAAATGTTTCCTAGCTAAATGAGTATGTGAGTGTACTTTTCCTGATGCATTATTTATTTAAGTGCATTTCAAGCAGAATGAGTTTAAGTTGAGGCAGAGGAACAGTGACTGCAACAGAGGCCGAAAGTTATGCGAAGCGAATGTGCGCAAAATAATGCAAGATAAACGCGCCAATTTCCAGAAGATCCGAAATAAGAACAACTTTCGTAGGCGAAAGAAATGTTGGGCCAAGTGGGGTTTAATGGGGGAAAGAAAATGTATTAAGGCACCGACAAAAAAATGTATAAACTATTTTAGTTAGCCAATTAATAATGAATAAATGGGTCAAACAACGTTTATTTTTATTCGAAGATAAATACTTGCAAAATGGTTACAATGGCTGTTAAACAAGTTTAAATTCAGGCAAATTTTAGTAGTCAAATAAAGTATATTCTAATTTTTGTATTTATTATATTCATTATTAATGTACAAAACATAAGCACATGAAAAACTTTGTAAACATTAATTAGCTTAGTTGGATTTTTATACATATTTGTCCAATTATTAATTTTAATTTGTGGACTTTGATTAAAAATAGATAAATTGTATTGATTGACTGATCATATTGCCACAAATTGTTTGGCTTACTCCCAATGTGTAATTAATATCCTGGGCAGACATGCTTAAATGTATATTTCCACAGCTTGTCACAACCTGAATTTGTTATGTCCACAAACTAAATGTGTTAAATGTATCAATATAATATGATACAATTGTTGTGCACTTGTGAACTCTCGAAAAATGAATGAAATAATTAATTAACGCCCAATTACACAAGGATCACACTTCAATCCCCCGAATGCAACATTACACCGCGGCAACCAAAAAGCGAAAAACCCCAGAAGTGTGAGTGTGAGTGTGAGTGTGACTGTGCGAAATGGGAAAGGCCGGAAAAGCGGTCGAGCAATGAAAATGGTCGAGCTGCGAAAATACAAATTGAAATGCAGCAAGTCGCCTTCCTTGTCGCGGTTTATTTTCCAGCACCACGGCAATTAATCATAAAAGCAGATTTTAACACGAGCTGACTGTATGCCATGTGCGTATTGTATATGTGCCATAAATGCCCATCCCCATGACCATGCAAATATGGATGTCCTTTTTCCTTCGCCTCGAACACATGAAATATGCAAAATATCTTGTAATGTGTTTATCAATGTGTGCGGATGGCGATGGAACATGTTTCGGGCAGTGTTCCGGACTCGGCGACTCAGTTCCAGACGATTCCTGCCTGGGCCTGCAAATAAATTCATTGAATTAACAAATAGCTTCGTGTTCATTTTAAACCAAAGAGGAACAAAGGCAAAACACGAAAAAGTTACGCCTGTTTACGGCAAAAATGGCAAAAATGGCAAAACGAAAAAACCAAGCGAGTGTGCATTTTTATTTTAAACGTTTTTATACAGATGTATGTATATATGTATGTACTATATTATTATCCACGACTCACCTGGATATTCTGGTCAGGGCAAATACTCTTAGCGGATTTTCGTTTAAAAATTTAAATAAAATCCCCAGTTGTTTTGCGGCTGAATGTTCCCTTCGCTTTTATTGTGTTTGCTGCACTGGTTAACAACGTTTTTTTTCGGCCAAAGCGAAAAATAATTGCTGAAACTTCATTTAATATATGAGCAAAACTGCGTGTCCGAATTCAGTTTCACCTCAGTACCTCTCTTAATTGTGTTGACAAGCAGCAATTAGTGCGTTCTTTAAATATTTATGAGCGAACTTTTTTAGTTAAATCAGTGCCAGATGTTTTTAAAGCTTTAAGCGATCGATTAATGGTAATTAATACATTTATTTGCAGTTAGGGTGATCCAAGAAGACTAACCATTATTTTATATGTGAGAAAAAATGATTTAAATGTGATAAAATATTTGATATTAAATTTGCAGAGCTTGAACTACCAAATGGCCATAAATACCCCCAAATGCAATCATGAACTGTTGAACACCAATTCAATTTGGAATGTTAATTCGCGGCCAGAAACTCGCCCGCAATTCCTGATGAATTTAATCTGGCCCAATAAGGTAATTCCACTTACAAAGCTCGCAAAAAAAAAGGGGGAAATGTGCGAGTTCAGAGCATAATTTGCGGCGTGCATGCTAAAATAATGAATTTCCACTTGCATAAACAAAGGAGTGTGGCGGGCGAGGCGCAAGGAGTTAGTTAGACAACTTGCGCCTGGCAATTTCATTAGAGGTGTTAAAAAACGGAATTAAATAAAAGAAAAACTCTCACGAAGAAATGCAATTTACTTCATAATTTGCCTAGGGTTGCAGTGAAAATTCTAATAAAACGCTTTTCACTTTACAATTTATCGTATTTTATAGATGCTCGTTATGTTTTACCTGGAAGCAAAGTACCTTTGATTATACTCTCAACGTTTCTGTTTGTTTGTTTTTTTATTTGGTCATATTTTCGTTTTTAATGAACTGCTTTCTGGTTCATTTGACAGCGCTAAGCCAGCCCTATGCTAATTTCGTTTTCCCGTTTCGGTTGAATCCTTCTTGCGCGTTTTTTTGATGGCTAACTGGCAGTACGTCCTTTTTTGTTAGCCGGATCTCGCAGCCTTTTGCTGCGGTCGCTGATGAACTGCACACATCACCCGGCGCGACACGGCTTGGCATGGCTTGGCATGGCTCGGCACCCAGCGGCAAACAACGGCCATGTCCTTTTAGCACACCCTGCCCACACACCTGCCATGTGTCCTGCGTCCTTTGGGCATCCCCAACCCCCCACTCGTGGAGTAAGTGCCTACCTCTCCCCCCCACCCGCTAAACGCGACTTTCGCTGCTTAAAAGCCATTTTTGCATTTTATATTTAATTTTTTCGCCGACGCCCCCTCAACGGGTGTGCCGCAATGCTTATCCCTTTTCCATACCCTCTAAAAAAGGTGTTCCATACATAGCATGCGTCTTGGTTTTCAGGAACTTATGCCTTATTTGAAAATATAATACCGACTGCAAAACATTTGATTGTTATTTTCTTACATTAACATATGATTTTAAAGTTATAAATAAGTTGCTTAAATTGAAAATGTTAAATCCTAATGATATTAAGTATTAAAAACCTTTGGCTAAATTCCAAAACTACATTTATTATATTATATATATAAATATAGCTTAAATATTCTTCGAAAATTGGTTGAAACCATCATGAAACCATAAATTATCAATATCAATCGACTTCCACTGGTTTTTTCGACCTCCTTATAGGGTATTTCCCTCTTTGAGCAGGCTTAGTTAGTCCTTGGTCCTCGCTCATTTTTCGGTGTCCTTTCCACCTCTGTTTATTCTTCATCCTTTGGCTTTGGTTTACATTTTTTGTGACGCTGTTTTCACTGTTTGTTGCTGTTGCCGCAGCATGCAAACATTTTGTAGCCGCTTCCTGGGATACGGCGAAAAAAGGAGGTCCATGTCCTAGTTAAACTTTGCCTGCTTTGTCACATTTGTAATATTTATTGCCTTTTGATTATATTTCGGGGCCGAGCCGGAAAAAATATTTATTTCTTTTTGCAAGGCATTTAAGATTTGGGTGATGTGAATTTAATGGAAACACAGAGCGGGATATATGGCATTGACATTGAAATGACGGGTTGTGGTAATTTTTTTTAGGTTTCCTCGCCCTTTAATCGAAACGAAGTTCTGGAAGACTGTTTTTTACCATTTATCCGATTTCCCTTCACTTAGTTACTGGCTGGATTTTGCTCTCTTTAATAAGCGTCAAAGTTAACAAAGTTGCAACTTAACTTTTTCCCTTGTATTTGGCTTTATTCCTTTCTTATTTTCCATTTCATTGCCCCTCGCCCCAATCCATTTTCCCGGCTTTTCCCGGAGAAGATTTGTAAAGTTTCATTGATAATTTTAACGACTCCCAGCTACATGTGTCCGTTCGTCGGCAAGTCGCAAAGTCGGGAAGTCGGAAAGTCGGAGTTGTGGAGGGGATTTCGGGGGGGATTGCCGGTTCGTGTTGAACTGCAAAGGCTCTTTAAGTACTTCCCAGAAGTTGGTTTTATTGTGTTTCTCGTACAATAATTCACGGACTGAGCAATCCAGCTGAGAGAAAGGCACTCTAATTACTAGGGATTTTAAATAAACTCCCTTGGCGTGTGCACGAATTTAAATGTTAGTTAGTTAGTTTCTCAAAGCAAATTTCTCTTTTAGTTTTTAATGATTAATTAACTCTTCTTGTTCAACTACTCATTTGTCTTTGTATATGCAAGCTATTATAAAGGAATTTGTAATACAAAATATTCAATAGAATAGTTACTAAAAATAACTGCATTGAAGTGGCTCTTAATTTTAATTAAATATGGATTTTTTTGTAATATATAAAGGTAGGTATATTTAAATGAAACTTAAACTAAGAGAATCAGTTTATTTACTTACCTAGCTAATTTTGCTCTGTTCATTTTTGTTTACTTATTTCATGGTTTTTTCTTTGGATTTATCTTAAGTTCTGTGTAGCTGAGCTCCACAATGGGAACAGTGGCAAGCCATTGAGTCAAGTGTCGAAGGCCAAGAACCACCTGCCCAGCTCAACCACTTTTCCTCCCATTTTCCACCCACTTTTCACATTTACCAACGCCTTTTCTTCAGCTTACCAAAACCGCGAGGCAAGTATTGCTTTCATGGCAGCCAAAAGCTTTCGCTTATGCAATTTCCTTTTTAATCCAATTTTTTTTTTTCATTAGCAAAATATTCTCCGGTTTAAGCCCTTAGTTTTATTTTTCTCTGTTGCAAACTTGTGGCTGCCTTTTTTTTCTCGCATTTCATAATTTTTCTTATGCAACACTTGAGTTAATCTGATTTGAAATCAATTTCAATTTTATGTGCGCACAAATCATGCTTTATTTTCGGGGGTCTGCAATTAAGCTGGTCCATTGCAATCCCATCTCAAGATGATTTTTTATGGCCTTTTATGTTTTATGGCTTAATAGTCGGCCCACAAAAAGGTGCCAGTTGAATTAATTCTGCAAGTCAGTCGAGCGTTGAACTCGTTTCCCAGGTATCCTGTCGGCACTTAATAAATTTATGATGAACCTTCGTACACTCGAGAGTTCAGAATTTGGGATTCCATTCCATTCCGCATCATCCCATTTCATTTCAATTCGTTCCTGCACTGAGGAAAAAAATTGTGTCATACTGGACATTGTTGGAAATTGTCTCTTTGCAATGGTACCGTCACAAAAAATATTCATTTTGTTCCCATATATAGCTTCGCAATAAATATAATATATAAAAAAAACAGCAATCTATATTTAAGAGTAATTTAAGAGGAATATGTCTTATGTATATTGAAAAGATTATATATTCTACACCAAACTATAAATTGAATGAACAGAATGTATTTTTTCTTATACTAATATTCTGTAGTATTTTATTATACATTTAGAACAATTTATTATTATTTGTTCCCCTTATCTATTTGCTATTTTTTTATTTTTTAAGCAACTTAAGAAATAAAATAAAATGAATTAATTGCTTAGCTGTTTCTTTCAGTGTGCTGGACATTGTCTTGTTTTTGGTTTGGTTTCGTTTTCGTTTCTTAATTGCCTGCGCCCGAGAACCTCGCCAAAAATGTGTTAAAAATGCAAAAATGCAAAAATATGACCAGATATCCAATATACATATATATATATATGTATAGTGTGTGAACCCCAGGTTGGCGAGGGGGTGCCCTGCACTTGTATGTTTTATTGCCCGAAACGCTTTGTGGTAAATTTATTGCCAAATTGTCGGCGACTTTCGAAAAAACGCGAAATCTTCGCAGCCAAAAAACAAACCCAAAAAACAAAAATACTCGTAAGGCGCAGAGGGGCGTAGACCATAAAAAAAACGCAAAACAGCCACAAACAACTCGAAACATCTTCAATAATAAATTCATAATTTTCGCTTTGCTTTGCCTTAATAAATTTTTATTATTTTTTAATTCCATTTCAATGAACAGAAAAAAAATCATAATAATATAATACGAGTAGTCGGGGCACAAAAATTAAAAAAAAGGAAGGGTGAAAAAAAAAAAACGATGGAAGGAGCCATAATAATAATAATGAGGATGGTGTGCAATTACGGGGTATCAGTAGCGGCCCCTGCGATTCGTCCCCGCCCCCCGGGGCGTTGTCGTCGTTATGGAGGGGCTTGGGCTTCCATGGACCTCCGACCGGGATTGGTATTGAGATTGGGAATTGGAGCTAGAGCTGGAGCTGGAGCTGGCAGTGGACTCAGGATCGGACCTGGCCATGGGCACCTCGATGGAGCGCGGCAGGTTGGGATACACTTGCGGCGTGATCGCTGTGGGCGGTACAAAATAATACGAATTAATATAAACCAGATTGCCCATCTCTGGGTTAAGGTTAGGAATAATCGTTGGGTGTCGTCTGCATGTCTTGTTAATTTTTGCCGAAGGAGTTTCGTTAAAGGGTAGGCCGTTTACATTAATCATTTTAGTTGTGGTCAATAAAGGCCATGATAATTGGGTCCAGTTAAATGATGTGCATTTTTAGCTGACAAAATTTTTTCAAGTGGCTAACTTTTAAATTATTAATTTCAAAGATATTTATTTCATTTAACCATGTGTTTAAATATTTATTGCCAATCAAACAATTATTCGTTTATTGATCCTAAATGAAAAAATGTTATTGAGCATATTAAATGGTGATTTTAATTCAAAATTACATTGTTACATTTAGGATACGTAAAATTAAAATGCTCACTTAAAAGATTTGGTATTGGATTTTAAGAGAGTTTTATTTATTGTTTGTTAAAACGGCTTTGATTGCTTGCTTTTGAAATGTCTTTAATTGTAGCAGAATAAGGAAACAATTAATTTTTAAATTAACCTAATGAATTGCATCTAGCTTTCAAACTTTGAAGGAACATCACATTTATTTTAATAACTGTATCTTTTGGCTTTTTTTTGTTAAATTTGTAATCACTTTTTGTTCACTTCCTAGTCTTGTGAAAACCTAAAATCGATAGACAAATGCCGATTGTACTTACACTGATTTTGCCGATAGCCAAATTGATCGGCATTGTAGAATACGGTGATGTATCGGCCGTCGGTCATGCGATACGAGTAATAGCCCACGACCATCAGGGTCTTGACCTCGTTAATCTTGGCGAAATATCCGCGCTCGTAACGCGCCGTTCCGTCGTCCAACTCGAATCGATACTCGTAGCTGCCATCGGGGTATCGGTTATCGAATCGATCCAATAATCGCACACTTCGCACCGCCTCCCTCTCCTTTTCGCTTTCCCTGATCTGCTGGCCGGAAGTAAGGGTGGCGCTCAGCAAGAAGATAGAGAGCAGGAACAGACCGGAAGTGGCCATTTTAATGTGTGAGCGTGTGATATTTGGATGGTGTGTGATGATATATGGGGTGGGGTGTGTATGGGGTGCTTGGGTTTTTGGAGGTTGCGTGTGTGTGCTGTCGCGTGTTGTTTTGTTAACAGTTTAATTCGGAAACTGTGTAACTTTGGCTTTTTATAGTCGCCATCGGAGGCAGCGACGCGAGCAGAGAAGTCGACTTTGGCTGCGGCAGCGAATATCTTCAGCCTGAGCGGGATATCCAAAGGGGTGACAGAGAGCCAAATACACAGGTAAAAAAGGATTGACCTTTTTTTATTGAGTATAATCTGTTTTTCAAATTAACCAAAAAGTATAGTGCTGACACATCAAGGAATTGCAGTAATTTCTATTAACGAACTACCCTTTGCCGAAACTTATATGATGTTTCCAAACAACATTTTACATTTTTATAAACTATTTTTTTTGCTAATTTACAAAATAAGTAATCAGACAAGGATCCAAATTTGAAGAATCGAATTTTTGAACTATTATTTTAAATTAAAATATGTTGTTCCGTTGGTTTAGTTAATAATTATAGTATTATTTCAATGTAAAGATATTTTGTAGGCCTTAAATTGTAAGTAGAAGTCCAGAAAATAGCAGAATTTCGCTCAGTGTATGTACATCTCTCTGAGCCATTGCCGTCAAAAATTCTCAACGCTTAATCATACGAAAAAAATCTTAATTTCATCTACTTACACACATGCTTATCGGTGTGCCCTGCTCAATGGGTAAAAGGGGCGGAAGGGGCGAATGGGGGCGGGGTAGGGGCTGGACAGGTTGCTAACTGGGCAATTTGGTTGCGCCTCTTTTGTGTGTTTGCTTTTGGCGCTATTCGCACGGCCGCCAAATTGCGCACAATGGGTTAGGAGGGGTTCGGCAGATGTAGGGGTATAAGGGGGTTGGAGGGGGTGGAAGGGCGTGGGGCTAAGCAATCACAGCTGAAAACTGATACAGCAGACATAATCGATTTGCTGCCAATTGATGGATGGCCAGGGAATAGCTACAAAGTGCCTTTAATGCTGCTTGTTCAAAATGGTACTTAACCATCTAATAAGTAAATTAAATGATCTCATTATGCGGCATACTGACAGATCTTGTTTAATTGTATCTTAAAGATACACATCAAATAATCAATTAGATTTTCAATAAATTTGTTACAATTTATTCTATATAATTATAGTCAACTAAACGTTTTCATTCATAAAAAACATTTCAAAATTTATTTTTATATTGTAATTTACAAAGTTAAGCAGACTTGGAAAGCCTTTAAACTCCATTCATTCTATTTGATATAAGCAATGCCTTCAATTTCATTTAATTACATGTTTTTTTTGTTTTTTAGTGGTTTTAATACATTTTTTTAAATTTTATATTTCTTTATTTTTTTTCGTTATTTATTGTTCGATATTTTTTGTTCCTTGATCAACACTGCTATATCAACATTTATGTTAATTACTTAAGAAAAAAGAAAGGGAATTATTAAAAAGTAAGTAAAATCAGGGAAGAAGTCAAGGTAATTTCAGCTGAAATCGAAATATAACCCATTGAACCCACTGTGCTGGGCAGTAGCTAAAAATACAACAGCTCTTGCACCCTACAATTTAGCCAGCCAGTACGTGCCGCCTGTCATCGCCGAACTCCAAGCTCAAAGCTCTAAACTTCAGGCTCTGAACTCCAGACTCCCGGCTCCCGGCTCCCGATTCCAGTTGCCAAAGCAGCGGATTCCGAGCGGGGAAGATGCAACACCAGAGGCGGAATGGGGGACCAGGAGCGGAATGAGGGAGGAGCGAACGAGGCGAGCGTCCTGTGGCCAATTAGGGCTAATTTATGATTTCAATCATTTCTTAATTGCATTTAATGTGCAGCGATTTAGCGAACACAGGACCGGGCAGCTGGGATATCTGCGATATCTGAAATGAGGGCCGGGGGCCATCGAGGGGCCACTTGGTCAGTCGGCCAAACTTAATGATGTGCAATTGAGCCGGGGACTGAGGGACCGAGGGACCGCAAAACTTATCGCATAATGCTGCTCGGGGGCAGCTGTCAATACGTCGACACGGACTTATCGCCATTTAATTAATTTCCGCACACCTCAAAGGTCACGCCAATGCATTGCGAAAAATATCAATAATACCATCTCTTGCTTGGATAGCATTTATGAGTTTATTTCATTTGTTGAGCCGCATTGTTTCGGCTTTTTCGTGGCATCCAGAGTAGATTTATGGCCAAGTCGCAGTGACGGAAACAGTGACAATCGCAGTCACAGTCGTTCCACTCGCCGGCTAAGTCATGCAGTCACGCAGTCACTCTGTCAGTTTGTCACTCTGTCAGTTTGTCGCCCTGTCAGTTTGTCACCCTGTCAGTCGGGGCCAAAAAGGCGCGCTAAACTTGCCAAAGTGGCAACAGCTACATCAGCACGCCAGCAACATCAGGCGGCACTGGCACTTCCTTCATCCTGCCGTAAACTGATTTATTTATAAACGTATTTTATCTCTGCCTGTGACAAAGCATTCATTTCACATTCTGGCCAGGCGAACAAAAGACGACGCTCAGACCCAGAAATTAAAATACAAAAGTAAAAAAGTACAAAAGTACAAAAGTGCAAGAGTGCAAAAGTACAAAAATGTTTGCCAAACTTGTTGCGCCCATCGGAGCACAGACAACAAATTTTTATATTCAAGGTAAACAAGCTAACGTTACATATAAATGTTTGAAAAATCACAACAAGTGTTTTGTTTTCGTTATCAAATAAATATATTTTCGGAAAACTATTTCGCTTATTTCATTTATTAACTAATATCCTAAGGCTACATATACAGACTTATATTTAATGCGTTTGACACAATGGCTTCAAGTATAAAAATTAAAAAAAAAAATTGAACGGAATACTTAAATATTAACAATGTAACATATAAAGTATTACAATTTAAGTAAAGGTTTACAATTTTGCTTATAAAGAAAACAAAAGCTTGTTAAGACAAAATAAATTGTCTGCAAAATGTTGATTGCGAATAATAATTGTAACTTTGAAAAAATTAAAAAGCATTTTGTGTTGTGTAGCAGCACAAGGAACAGTGGCTCAGAGGGGGAGGAGTAGTTGAGGTGCCTCATCAGCAAGGTCATTTGTTTTGTCTGTCGATGACAAAGACTGCGTCCGAAAAAGAATCAACAGCAGAAAAAGGAAGATGTTGCCGCTGTGCAGTCGTGACAGGAAGCGATTCCTGGTAGTGTTGCTGCTGCACCGAGAAAATAATCCAAGTTAATTTAAGATGCATTTTTTATAACAAAATTGTGTGTATGTTTTTTAAGCTTTTAATGTATTTAAATTACATTTCATTCGTACTTATACTTGTCGTTTTATACTCCCACCCTTAAAATATAACAAGCAAATCAATACTTTTTTCCCAGTGTGGCTTTCTGTGATGCTAAATGGTTGAGACAACAACGCTGTTTGTCATTACCGTGCGTTGGTTATTTTTGGGCAGGTTGCAGTTTCCCCCCAGCAACAGCAACAGCAAAGTCAACGGCAGCAACATCGCAGCCACGGCAGCAACATCGCAGCCACGGCAGCAACATCAATGGCCAAGGAGCAGCAGGAGGTGCCTCGGTTTGTCTTACTTTGTAGGTGTCAGCGTGGGGACCCTCGACATTCTGTTGACGACGTGCTGCAGTTTTCAACACACGGCCAACCAGCGGCACAGTGGGGCAAAATGGGAAAAAACTGGGATCTGTAAGTATTTGAAAACACTGATTTGTTAAACAAATTATGTATTTTTATTTAAATACATAAATGGTATAGCTAGCCAGCTGTTCAAAATAGCAACTCTTTTGACTTTGGGTCTTATTTTGGCAAAGTTACAGCAAAAAGTCTCTTCAGAAATAATTTTGTTTGAAAAATCACCAAAAATCCCAAAAAACACAATAAAAACTTGGTTTTTGTGTCAAAACCCTTGGAAACAATGGTCAAAATGTGGAATGCCATACACCGTTGAATTCGTAACAAAATTTCCAATCGAATGGCATTCTCAGCTAAAATTTGTTCAGATTTTCAAATTTCTGCAAAAAATGATGATGTACCCCCTTACAAAAAAGTCAGAAAATTGGACATATCTTAATTTTTTAAAAACGCGCTGTTCAAAATTCGGTTTTTTCGTCAAAACTAAATTAATTGTTTTCAATCGATCAGGGATGGATGGTATGGGTTGCCAGCTGTTCAAAATAGCAACTCTTTTGACTTTGGGTCTTATTTTGGCAAAGTTACAACAAAAAGACTCTTCAGAAATAATTTAGTTTGAAAAATTTTAAAAAACGCAAAAAAACACATTAAAAACTTGGTTTTTGTGTCAAAACCCTTGGAAACAATGGTCAAAATGTGGAATGCCATACACCGTTGAATTCGTAATAAAATTTCCAATCGAATGGCATTCACAGCTAAAATTTGTTCAGATTTTCAAATTTCTGCAAAAAATGATGATGTACCCCCTTACAAAAAAGTCAGAAATTTAGACATAAATAAATTGTTCAAAAAACGTTTTTCAGAATTCGGTTTTTGCGTCAAAGCTGAATAAATTGTTTTCAATCGATCAGGGATGGATGGTATGGGTTGCCAGCTGTTCAAAATAGCAACTCTTTTGACTTTGGGTCTTATTTTGGCAAAGTTACAACAAAAAGACTCTTCAGAAATAATTTAGTTTGAAAAATTTTAAAAAACGCAAAAAAACACATTAAAAACTTGGTTTTTGTGTCAAAACCCTGGGAAATAATGGTCAAAATGTGGAATGTCATACACCGTTGAATTCGTAATAAAATTTCCAATCGAATGGCATTCTCAGCTAAAATTTGTTCAGATTTTCAAATTTCTCCAAAAAATGATGATATACCCCCTTACAAAAAAGTCAGAAATTTAGACATAAATAAATTGTTCAAAAAACGTTTTTCAGAATTCGGTTTTTGCGTCAAAGCTGAATAAATTGTTTTCAATCGATCAGGGATGGATGATATGGGTTGCCAGCTGTTCAAAATAGCAACTCTTTTGACTTTGGGTCTTTTTTTGGCAAAGTTACAACAAAAAGACTCTTCAGA